ACGTAGCACTGCGATGCCGAGTATGTCAATAATCCGTCCTTCACCACTTCAGCACGATATCCCTCGACAAAACGCTTCATATACACCGTCCGCCCACCCTGGTTGCAGCGGCAAGTAGCCCGTTGGGAAACGGCGGCTCCTCTGCACTCACCACCAAAGTCGCCAATCACAAGGTCGTCAACGACGTACCGCCGTTGGTTAAAAAGTGAGCGTCGGAAGGTCTCTCTGTCTTTGAGATCGTTACGGTTACTAAGTGCCTGTGAAAACACCTCACCGGCAATCCACCCAGCAACCATCAACTCCCCATCGTTGTCATTGTTGAGAAAGTGATCCGTGGTATTGAAGTCGTCTTTATTCACTCTTAGGTACCTCTTCATGTCCCTCTGAAACCGTTTGATTGCTTCGTAGTCCTTGTCCTTCGCAAGTGGATTAGTTCCTGTCGTGATTACTTGGCCACTCTTAAACGGAACACCACTGGAGACTGCTTGACGCCATGTACTCAGAAGTGTTTCTTGCAAGGCATATGGACCAAGCAAGTGTGCTTGGCGGGTACGTCCGTCTGTTAACATGTTTCGAACAAACTTCGCGGTGTCGTTGACTGGTGCACCAAACACAATCACAGCCTGCGGGAGAGTATTGGCAAACTTCTCCCATACATCTTTGAAGACGGCATCATCAGCAGCACCAGTCACAGAGCTCTTCAGAGTAAACACACCGCACGGCTCCGAACTCATTTGTGTCATCAATTTCATGGCGAGTTGATACTCAGGGTCACCGAACCCCACGTCCTGAAGGTACATGAACCCGAGACGCCGCACACGCAGACGGTTCACGCTGTAGCGAAGGAGGGTCACCAGCTCAGAGAGAGGGTCAGCACGAACAAAGTATAGGTTCGGGCTCCATCTGCGTATCAAACTCGACGCAGTGAAAGGAGCAAATGAAACAAGGCCGTGCTTCACAAGGGCGGGCATGGCATAACGCACCTGGTCATCACCGTAAAAAGAAAGCACAGTGAGGAGATTCTTGTGCACCCTGACAGCGTCCTCAACTTCCATGGCGAAAACCGATGCGTGTGCCTCCACTTCAATAATTCTTACACGCACACCGTCACTCACAAGATAGTTCCGGCTCAAGAGCGAGGCACGAAGTCCAGCGTTCAAAAGGGACCACGAACGCGAATCACCGTCTGTTCCATAGTGCTTGGCGGAAAGGACCTGCACAGACACCAGATGATCCTTTCTACCATCGGTGCCAAACTCCCCAGTAAAGCAAAAAACAGGCAACGCGGGCGCGGCAACACGGGAGAGAGTCCACACAGAGAGTGACGAGGCACCATAGTTCACACCACACGTTACGTCACCAACGTCTGTGCCACAATCCACACCATCGTAGAAAGGGCCGTAGTGCATGTCGTCCACAGTCACCATGATATTGGTGTAGAAGAAATCAGCCAGATGCTTTGCACCAACCTTGTCCATTCGAGCAGCAACTGAACGCATCAGCCTCACAGTAGCGAAGCCCCTCAGCGCAAGCGGAGTCCACTTCGTCCTGTCCTTCACGGCAGCGTGGAACTGCTG